AAATTAGTATTTTTAGAATTCTCTAATCAAAATCTATCAAATAAAATTAATTTTGATTATGATTTTTTTAAATAAATAAATAATTACCGTCGAACTTGATGTGAATAGTAATATTTTATTCTTTTTCCCAATAAAATTTGTACAACAAAAAAAATAACTTAAGAATACATTGTCAAAGTAAAATTTTACTGTCATTTTCAAACAATTAGAGATAAAATTTTATTTTTATATTTAAAAATTAAACTTACTTTTGCCACATCGGCTCCATTAACACCCAAGCCAAGGCCCAAAACAATGACTCAAGTAAGAATACACTTGGCAAATTCATGGTTGATTATTGGTTGATTTTGAGATATCGTGTGTCCGTAGTAGGTGGATATGTCTCTTAACAATTTGTGTGTGTGTGTGTGTTGAATTACACATGCCAAATGGATTTAATAAGGGGTATAAATTTGGCCTTGCGCGGACCATGTGGGGTCTTGCAGGCTCCCGTCAAAATTTGGGCCAGGTCGACTTGGCCCGCAAGCCAAAAAATTAAACCCAGGCCTAGGTTCAAGCTCAAGCCCAGGGGTATTCAGATCTTGGGCGGGCCGAGTTGGTGGGCTTGGCTGGATTTGAGCTTGACACTAGGCCTCGAGCAGGCTAGTCCTTGAGTGGGCTTTAAGCAGGCCGATGGGCCGAGTTCAAAATGATGGCCCTGACTTAAGATCTCGGATCGAGTCGAGCTGGAGCCCACCCCAAACCACAAGCCATTTTTACACTCCTGAATTTGATCAATACCCTACCCTCCGAATAGGTGCAAAACTTGAAGTTCTCTTCTCACTCAAATCTCTCACGAATATGTAGAAAAGCAAGATTGTCAAAAAAGAAATAGAAATATACTGTGTGTCTCCATAAAATATGGGCCTTCATAAGGGGTGATTTTATTTATACCTAAAAAATATTAAGTACGTTAAATTTCTTAGTATTTTTCTATTAAATTATTTAAGGGTTATTTGGGATGTTCTAAATAAGTGCATTTTTTATTTTTCTGGACTAAAAAGTTGAGGAAAAAAAATATGGATGTTTGGGTTAACTTTTTGACTTTTTATGAAAAAATGTGTATTATAATTAAAATATTGTATAAAATTATAAAATTACGAAATTGCCCTCGCTGACAAGAGAGTGCAGTACTGGCAGTACACTTGATGTCTCTTTTCAAATTTTTTTTTTTTAAATGGAATGTGTGGCTACACAGTGTGCCATGTAACTTTTTGACTGGGATGTGTGGCTGCACCATACCTGCGCAGTGCTGTTTTCCCTCTTTTTTTTTTTTTTTTTTTTTTTTTTTTTTTTCTTTTCAATTGAGAGATTTCCCTCCAAAAGCGGTAAATAGTATGAACTTTTTTGCTTTTTAAGTGACTTTTTAACTTTTTGAATTTTCTTGAGAATGCCAAACTTGGCCTTAGTATGAGTTTGGTTGCAATTAATGATAATTGTGAGTTTTGGTACAGTGGATTAAAGTTTTGGAGTGAGAAAGAAGATGAAGAAAAAAATAATTGAAACTTGGAAACTAAGATGAAGAGAAAATAATTGAAACTTTAGGAAGAAAATAAAGAGGCTTGAATATGAATATAAGTGATCAGGGTGTACCATGAACATAAAAATATTTTGTTTTTGGATTTAATGTGTATTGTCCTTATTAGTAAATTTATATTAGAGTACAATAGAAACTAAAATTTTAACTGAGGTTATTATTTGAGTTCAAATAGAATCACTCGGGTTTATGGAGAATTTTTTTTTATAAATTGTCATTTTCACAAAAAAAAAAAGAAAAAAGAAAAAAGAAAAACCCCAAATGAGATATTTTGGCCAAATTTCCGTGGAAGACCAAAATGATTAGTATAAGCTGGGTCCACATGCAATTTCTTTGAATGATAAAAATATGTTAAATTATACAAATTAAACTGTTTGCCTTTAATAGATTTTAATAAAAATTATTGCTATGTTATATATATTTTGCTATATTGGAGTGAAATACTCATGGTGTAAAAGGCAAGCAAGGGTAACCATTTTGGGGGCAGACGCTTTTGGGGAGAAAAAAAAAAGTTCGTAAACAAGTGGTATTTTTACAAGAATATTTATAAATTTATGAAAATTTTTATAACTTTAATTATTAAAATTGATAATTTTTTTCATTGATTTGCAATTTTCTTTTTAAAAAAAAAAAAAAACTTACACTGAAGTGCAATTTTGCCAATAAAAAATAGCACAAATGAGAAAGTGGTGAGCTAAGCTAGAAAGAAGACGAGGAAAGGTAGTATAGTTTTGAAAATGAATCACGAGTTGTTTGGGAGCATAGCTCAGCTCAATTTGTTAAGTACATGAATGAACTCGAGCTAGATTTTTAGATTGATTTAATAAATAAGTCAAACTCGAGCTCAAATAATTTTGAATCATTTCTTATTTATTTAAATTAATAAATAAATATAAAATATAATACAACATTTCATTTAAAGAGTTGAATTAAGTTGAGTTTGAGCCGAACAAAACTCGCTTCAAATTAATTTGTTTGATCAAGCAAGCGGTCACCAACGTTACAACATAAACAAAAAGCAACAATATCAGAATTCCTATAATAATAATAAAAAAAAAACAGTTAATTACACTTTTTACTTTTATATTTTGACCTAAATTACTTTGATCTTTATAATTTTAATTTTAACAATTTAGTCACTATATTACCCTTTAAATTCAATTTTAATTTGATTATTTCGTCTAAATTTCTATTTATTATTTTTGTGTATACACTTCAAGAGATTAATAAGTGTTTCAAAATCATGAATTTTAATTTTCAAATTAAATCAAAGAACAAAATCAAAATTAAATTTACGATATACGAACTAAATTATTCAATTTAAAATAAGAATTCATCTACACCACCATCACCCCAACAACACGATCACCGCTACACGATCACTATTACAACCACACACCACCATCACCATCACCATCACCATCACACCAACACACGATCACTATTACAACCACACACCACTATCACTATCACCACCACACCACCACCTAGGCATCTTGACAGCGGCTGCAGCAAAGAAGCAGTAGATGGAAGGTGGTTTTGGAGGCAAGCTTCTTGAAGCATGCATAGATCCGGCGCTTAATGGTCCCTCTAAGTGGGGTCACGAAGGGTTTGCATCATGATGGTGTCACCTTTTCAAAACTTTTCTTGGTTTCCTCCATTTTCATCCTATCCTTCCTATGCTGAATTATGGTGATTTTGTGGAGAGGGAGAGAGAGCGAGAGAGGGATTATATACGGCAGGAGAGCACAACAAAATGCATTTTTATAGATAGAGAAAGTGACAGAGATGCATGTGTTGAAAGCAACATCGTTCCGGACAAACATTTTATTCAAAAAGTGATAATAAATTGTCAAATAATTTTTTTTTAAAAAAAATAATTAAAAAAGTAATTTTCAAATTAATCTTAAGTTGAATAATTTATTTTACAGTTTTAATTTTAATAATTTAAATCATTTATTTTATAGCGTCTCTATGTATATTATTCACATAAAAAATTAAGTTAAGTCGATAATAATAATTTATTTGATTTTTTGTGTTTGTCGCAAAAAAATAAATAGTCTATTTTTAAAAGTCATTCTTTTTTTTTTAGATATAAATATGATAAATCAAATTAACTTAATTTAAAAAAAAAATAGTCTATTTTTTATTTTTTTTAGTGTTTGTTATAATAATTCTCCTTATGTGGAGGTTATGTCCTTCCTTTATGATAGTTTTTTCTCTCCTCTATGGAGATTATGATTCTTCCTCTTATAAAAGTTTGTTATCCCTTTATGAGATCTTTTGTTATCGTTGTTAGAGATGGCAATCGGAACCCGGCCCAACGGAGACCCGATCCCCCGACCCCGAATTGAGCGGTTATTCTCCGAAAAATACCCTCGACGAACCGGGGATGGTATTAAAAATTAAATTCTCGATGATATTCGGGCCGGGGACAGGGATACATGTTTCAGCCCCGGACCCGGCCCAACCCCAGCCCCGATCCCCGGCCTAGTTGCCCCGACGTGAATTTACTATTTTACCCCTGCTTATATATAACATATGTGTGTGTGTGTGTGTAGGGTTTTGGTTGACCACTCACACACAACACATACAAAGCATCTCTTTCTACTCTTGCTCTCTCTCTCTCTCTCTCTCTCTCTCTATCTATCTTTAGGGTTTTGCCTTCTTCTCTCTCTCTTTCACACAACGGCGGCGCCGATCCTCGACGATCTTCCCTCACTGCCGTTCATACCTCACTGTGGATCCTTCTCCCTCACCGCCGCTGCTGGTTAGAACTTAGAGTTTTGCCTCCTTCTCTCTCTCTCACACACGACGGTTGCTCGCCCCTCACTGCCACACCTCCCTCGTCGGCGATCCTCCCTTACCGCCGATTTCAAAGGGTATCTCTCTCTCTCTCTCTCTCTCTCTCTCTCTCTCTGTGTCGGGATTTCGGATATAGGGGGTTTTCATACACACACACATATATATATATATATATATATATACATGTGTTTAGTTTGAAAAACGTTTTCTACCTTAAAAGTGGGGAACATTTTCGGCGCAAATAGGCCTTTTCTTTTATTAACCATGGAAAACGTTTTCTATTGACTTTCATTTTCCGTTGTACCAAACACAAGAAAAACGAGAAAAACTTTTAAAAAAATGTTTTTCGCCCAAACAAAACGGAGTGTGAGTTCAAATATGAAGTTGTAAAAAATGCAAAATTCACAGCCACAATGTTTTCTGTTTCCTTTGGTAATTTGTCACTTTAACCAGTTTTACAGTTTTTTTTCTTTTTAGTACAGACCTTTCAAAAAATTAGATTTCAAAATAAATTTAAATGATGAGGCAAATTTTCAGAATTATTACGAAAAAAAAATCGATTTTGTTATTAAGTGGATGGTTATCTTTCAATTGAATCATCTCAGATAGGATACCTTTTCCAGATCCTCATTCTTCAGTGTGTGCAACTTTTTCCCAAATTCCAAAAAGCAGAGTAAAGAGAATAGTACAAACCTGTTAAGGCAAATGTACCGCCCAATACTGCACAAAGCCGAGTGATGAAGTGGAGAAAACTGCGACGTTCCTCTCTGATGGTCACAGTAATTGGTGACAGATCATACAGAAAGTAAACAGCTGGATAGAATAACAATGGGGTTAGTAATTGGAACACAGATGATAGTAGCTGCAAGGAACAGAAAAAAGATCTGGAAGAGAGAAAGAAGAGTTAGCAGAGAGGGATCAAAATAAATTCCAGTGTCCAAACAAACCTGGCCAAGTCCTATCATATTCGTTCGTAGGAGAATAATATTCCGTGACTGAGAATTGATTAGTTGGTAAAACTTCTTTTGATAAGTATCTGTATTCAATTGGAACAATCTACATGGAAACAAACAAATTTCTCAACAGAGAGCAAGAAAAAGAATGCTAAAACCCTAATGTTGTGTTTGGTTGGGAAATTTGATGAGGGATTTGGAAAAGGAAAGGGAAAAGGTGTGTGAAATTAGGTGAAATATAGGCATGTTTTATTCACATTTCACCTACCTTTTCTATTTTCCTTTCCAAATCCCCCAACCAAACACAGCATAAATATAAACCCAACTATTAAATGAACTATATATATACATAAAGCAGAGTTGTTTCAATAAATTATTGTTCAATAATAGAGAAAATTTGGGTTTCAGCCTGCAACGGCTAACAATTGAGTGCTTTGTATGCTTTATCAGACCAAAGCATCCAATGAGTATTCTACGTACAAGAGTCCTGTTAAGACTATGTTTGGATCTTGGATTTGTCGCGTGAAAAGAAATGGTAAGGGAATGCTTTCATTCATTTTCTTTTCCTATCTTTTCACACCATGAATCCATGATCCAAACACAACATTTATATGGTCATTACCCACTCTCCATAAGGGCGTCCCATAAATTTGTTCGATAGTGTGTGATGCTAGTAAATTCTAATGATCATAAGAAAAATATTTCCAAGATAGCATGTGCAAAAATAGCCGGTTTTATTTTTCTTTTAGCTAGTCAACACTGAGGACAACACAATGATCATTTAAGCAAGGGTCCCCTTGCACAGCAAGATCTGGAGCACATATGTGCAGAAAAAATGCACCAGCTATCTTAAAGAAGGTGCATATTGGAAACACCAGAAGATAAATCAACAATTTATCAAAGAAAGACCAGGAATCAAACCTTTATGTAATATTTGAATGTTCCACTTGAACCACGCAGAATCCGTGAAGTCTCATCAAGTGGGTTGTGAATTCCAGGATATTTTGGCCCAAATGATAAATCATGAATAATATGGCTCACATTGACATGAATGGGCCCTTTAAAAATCTATTGGACAAAGAAAAAAAAAAAAAAAAAAAAACAAAGAAAGAAAGGGAGAGAAGAAAAACAAGCAATAGGTAAGTGAACTAAAGTGAATGAAAAAGCAGTTGAAACGGAAGGATACGAATTAACCTCCACACTAGCAGTTGAAGACATTCAAAAGGCTAGCAAACAACACAAAAGATGTCTTGGCTCACTAGATGGAGAGTAATATATAATTATCAGGCCATTTTCTTAAAAATAACTTGAACAATTTAATCTCCTTATAATAACAGAAGTTACCCCTTGTTAACTAATTGGTATGAAGTGTAAGTCAAAATGTATATTTGAAAGTCCCAAGGAAAGTGAATAGCCATTTAACTTTCTGTATTGCATTCCAATTAAGTCAATTATTTTGACTGGAGCCATTATGAAAATGGCACCAATCTAAAAAATGATGTCAAATTATGAATTTTGTCACTTCAAAGAAACCTAAAGATGATCACAACCAGAGGATATGAAGAACTCCTGTTTTTTGCATGCCTCCATGTTTCAATGATAAATTCCACTGTAAAAGCCACAGAAATTCCAAAAAAAATGAACAAATGAAATGAGGCATCAAAATGAACACCAAGTTTTTTTTTTTCTTTTTTCTTTTTCATATCTCATCAGTGCTTAGTGTAAGGATAAAAGCTTGAACTTCCAAAAGTAATAAAATGAGAATAACGCCTCGTAGACTCCAATTTTAGAGGACCAGAACTAGGACATGACTTCTCTTCTGTGTTATAGGAATTCCCCATATACTTCAGAATAAAGCATTTATATAAGCATGGAAGTTAGGTTCACACACAAGCCAGACTCCTAAAGGCCAGCATCTCAAAATTTAGCAAATTGAAGTGGACCAATATTTTATTACCGAAAACTTAAGTTCAGGCTGAGTACCTTTTATGAAGACAGAAGACCAAGTTGCTGTTATTTTAAATAAAGGGGGTAGCTAAACTATACTAAATTAGAAGTATTTTGTACTTCTCCAAGTATTTGTCTAAATGCTGTGTTTGGTTGGGGGATTTGGGGAGGGATTTGGAAAGGAAAAGGGAAAAGGTGCGTGAAACTAGGTGAAATATAGGCATGTTTTATTCACATTTCACCTACCTTTTCCATTTCCCTTTCCAAATCTCTCCCCAAATCCCCCAACCAAACACAGCATAAGAGAATCAACTTCTCACTCTTTTTCTTCTCCTCCCACTTCTTCCACTTTTTTTTATTTGTTTTTATTAATTTTACCAAGCAACCAATGGTTTAATCAGGAATCACATTATTCACATATTTATAGATACTGATGACTTGTTACATGAAATTACATTACAAGAAAATAACCTTTAAAAAACAGGAAAAAAAAGAAAAACTGGCCATTTGTGCAACAAAAATGTTCAACCCATGAACTGAGATATGGAAGTTCCCAGCAACTCTTTGGACATCCAAGACCCCATAAACCTGCAAGAATGGTTAAGCTTATTAATTCTATCATAAACACGAGCATGTTCACATCCAAATTGGGACCAAAACATACCCGACATCCTTCTCCATTAGCCAATGCTTGCTTGACCTTCTTAATCATTGTTTCAGCATCTTGATCAAAGCCATGCAGGTGATTTTTCTGATCTGAATCCTCATGATTATCTTTATCGCCATCTGATCAATGATATTTGTGAGAACCACTTAATTAATAACAAAGAAGCTTGGGAAAAGTACTTTATGAACCACTTAATTAATAACAAACAAGCCTTTAGTGACTAAATTTTTTGGTCGGAAATTTAGTAGTTGAAGAGTAGTCGGGCAAGCTAATTTGCTACTAAACTTAATTTAGTCGCCAAATGTATACATTTGCCGACTAAATATTTAGTCGCCAATAGATTGGAGAATTAATTAAATAATACATTTTTGCCGACCAATTTTTTTGTCATCAAAAGCCAATGATTTAGTCGCAGAAAAAATTTTAGCTACTAAATTTTTTAGTCGCCTAAAGAAAATACTAGTGTTTTGGCTATTAAAATTTTAGTCAGTCAATCTTTTTTGGCTATTAAAATTTTAGTCGGCAAATACTATTTCTTTTGGCTACTAAAAATTTAGTCGCCTAAACTCCCACATTTTTTGCTACTAAATTTTTAGTCGCCAAAAGTATTTTTATTCTTCAACCTGTCAAGTGGGTTTCATAATATGTGACATATGTGCCTGTTTTGTGGTTGATATCTTCTTCTTTGCCCAGAAGGTTTTATTTTTGTTTCTCATAAAGAATTACTTATAATGTGATTATTTCATTACTAAAAAATGTGTAGGTTTTTTGCCAATATTTTTGCACTTCATACAAACTTCACATGTTGAGTTGTCTCTTGTGAGCCTCTAAAGTTGAGTTGTTAGGTATTTTCCCAAAGTCTTGGCCACTGGTCCGCTAGGTGGTGAGCATCACATGCACACCTTTTGAAAAATGCTCACCATGTTTATGTGCTGATATCCTTGAAACATATCAATAAAATATATATATATATATAGAGAGAGAGAGAGAGAGAGAGAGAAAATACCTACAAATAATGAGGGAAATGCATCACAATGTTGGATGGATATGAAAACTACAAATAATGAGGGAAAGTGCGTTGTTCAATCATTAGAATTAGGGTGACCAGCAATCTTGGTTATACTTGTGTGTAGAGAAACTTTAAGAATTTCTATATTAGGAAATACTTTACAATGTTTTAATAAAACTAAAGAAATAATTAGAAAATTTTGATATCGGTTAAAATTTGACTTGGTTTGAATTGATTAAAAATTAATGTTACAAAGGAATTAATTTGTAAACCAAAAACCTGAGTTGAGAATCTGATATTACACCACTTAATGTTCCAATGTAATTTTCCAGGGACAGTCAACATACACCCAAGGGCTGTTTTGAATTTTCACACCCGAAATGTTTTTTTTCGATTAAGTTTTGGGCGTATTCGGCTCTAACTCCCAAACTACGGGTCCGAATTACATTCCGTCAGTTGTCACAAGTCCTATTTGGCATGGGAAAGCTGCCCGTGACAGCCACACGGTAGTTTGGGGGCTGTTTCGAATTTTTGCCCCCAAAACGCCCTTTTTGGACTAAGTTTTGAGTGTATTCAACGCTAACTCCCAACCTACAGGTCCGAATTACATTCCATCAGCTGTCACAAGTGCTATTTGTCATGGGGAAGCTTTCCGTGAGAGCCACATGGTAGTTCGGGGGCTGTTTTGAATTTTCTTTCCTGAAAGCCCTATTTTGACTAAGTTTAGGCCGTATTCGGCTATAACTATGGTAAAGCCATAAACATTCCTAACAAGGCTGATTGAGTGCCAAATGAGAAGTTAATGCATGTAAAATCTGATTCAGAAATTCTGAAAGAAAATTTTCATTCTCCAGGTTAAGGGAGCTCCTAATTGTCCGATTTATTTTATATTTTATATGAATGATATACATGATGAATCCTATAATATAAACAATTTTGATCATTAAAATAAAATCGATACAAATCTCAACAGGCCATCACAGCAGGTGCTGTGACAGCACCCTCCCTTGTGCCCACTAAACCTTTTAACATTTCTTTCATAGAAGTCCAGCAGAGTATGCTTCTTTTCTTTTCTTTTTTCTTTTTTTTTTAAAGTGCTATGAAAATGTAGTTTTATTTTTATCTGCAGGAAAATGACACCTAAGACCAAGAAATAACTCTGGACCAAGAAAAAACAACAATCACAATCTGCCACCAGTAGAAGCCTCATAACAGCAACACACACCAGCAGCACCTCTACCTTATAGACAATATCTGTCACTATGCTGCTACTGCTACTGCACCTCTACCCAAGTCATCTTCTCATCCCAAGTCTGACCCAGCCATCCACCTTATAAAAATAATCTAACCTTAGACACATTCCTTTACCACACAACACCATCAGCACAGAATATAGCAGCAACAAATCTTTTCTGGCAAACCAAAGATGATGATCAACACCATTTTCTTAGAAATCCAAATGAAAAGGTCTAGGGACAAAAGCATAAATTGAAGTTCTAATCAATCAGAAGGTTTCTTAGAAGGCTAATATATGATTTGGGTTGTTCATTTATTATTTATCATTTTGTTAAAACAAGGACTCTGACTTTTGCTATGGAATGCTTGCTTACTGTGCTTTACCATATAGATTTTGATGTTATATTAGAAAGATTACGGGCTTGTTTGGTTTGTTTTTGGGAGAGTTGTTTTTGAAAAAAAAATTGGGGAGAGAGTTTAGAAATTTTGTTGGTTTGTTTGGTTGTATATTTGGGAAAGTTGTTTTTTTGGGAGTTTGGGATGATTTGATATTTTGGGAGAATTTGAGTAGATGTGTGTGAGAGAAAAAGTGATTGAGAATGAGAGAGGAGAGAGAAAAAGTGATTGATTGATGTGTAAGAGAGAGAAAGTGATTTTGAAAATTTTTTGAGAAAAACTCAAACCAAACAATTTTTTAGAATTTTTTTTTCTAAAACTCATCTCCCAAATGCAAACCAAACATACCCTGCATTTCTCCGCGGTTTTAGAAGATAGAAATATTGGTGACTCAGTTATCTGTGAGATAGACAAAATGATAGACAATAGTTACCTCATAGTTTGGTGTGAAAATGGGATAGATGCCAGAGCATATCGAAGGGAGCTTGGGCCATTGCTAGACCACGGGTGTTTTGTCCATCCGTAGGAGCAGAAATAGAGCTCTCAACCTGTAAAATACACAAAAGACATTGATCTATTAAGAGGTTATAGTAAACACAAAGATCACGACCTATGTGATTACAAAAATTCAAAGACGAGAGAATTCAAACCAGCACAGATTTGAAAAAAAGGCTAAATTGAATAGAATGAGTTCAATCAATTTTATTAACTTAACATTAAAACTAATTTTTGGCAATAGTTCTTTTTTTCTCTCTATCTTCTTGTCCATCATTTTGTCTAGAAATCTCAATTAAATGTCCTCTCAACTTGCTCTATAGAAAAATTTACACAATAAGAACTTGATGAAGTACATTCATTCTTCCATCACCCACCATCATCACAAAAGTCAACTTATAATGTTTGGTGACTTACCTTCTTAGCCAAAAAGTCAAAAAGTTACTTTTTTAGCCAAAAAGCCAACAACTCATACCAAAAAGTCAAAGATTCTCTTTTCTCTCTACTTTTTGCACATCTTTTCGTAATTAGCCAAAAAGTCATCCCAACACATATAAGTTTTTTTTACCTAATTTTTTAGCCAAATAGCCAAAAAGTTACTAAATTAGCCTGTTCCCAAACGAGGCCAGTAATCAATATGTAAATGCAAATATTTATCAGTCGACACCCAATAATGGGGAAAAAATTGCATGAAATGAGGAAAGAAATTAGCCCAATGAAACAAGCTGGTAATTACATAAAGATAAGGTACAACATTTAGTTAAGCCATCAAATCTAATTATATTTAATAAGATTTCAACCCACAACTAAAATTTAGATACTTCAACTAAGATGCATGCACATAACAATCAAGTGTGACATTATTGCTCCAATAAGTCATCTCACTAGCCATAAAAAAAGTAGTCATATGCTTCATCAGCTGCAAGTGGTATGCAATCATATAAAAAGATTCTCAAAACAGAGAGCAGTTATACAATGGCGCAATAACCAATAACAAAATTAAACCATCATTATCTCCATGTAACAGAATAATGTTAAGTGCCACCACATAACAAAGTCTAAATTCCCACTAAACATTTCAAATCATATGAATGGACTCCCAAAAAGTGATCAAACTAGTATATAGTCCCAGATATGTGTGTAAATACAATGCAGATTCATAGGCCCTTGCTTTAATGATTAGTCTTATAAAACATCTGACCTTTTGCAAGATAAACATGTGAATCCAAACTTACTTTCATTCAAGATGCACTACTATAGGTTAATCTTGTCCAATTGTAGTTTCAATAAGATTTCTAGTTCTATCACCATTGATACCATCACCATCATACTACAACTTCCACTAGAATGCCATCAAGACTACTTTCAGACCACCACAATGCTAGGTAGACACAATAACTGTTTTCCTTCAGCTGGTTGTTTGAAAAATTGATATTTTGTATTAAAAAAAAAATTAAAAAATAACATTTACATCATTTAATGGTGCCAAAAGCATAAAAATCCCAAGTCACAAAACAAACATTCAATTAACCATCTCTAGCTTTAGAAAATAGTGTGATACATATATATATAGAGATATAGATATAAAAATTTCCCAACAAGCCATAACCAATAAAATTTGTTTTTTATTTGTATAATGTTCCATACAGTTTATGATTTATGGTTTGTCTAATCAAAGCAAATCATTATGAATCAATCAAGACAAAGATTCTTCTTAATTACTGAATTGGAATTTTCCAAAACAAACAGAGCCCAAATTAGATTATTAATTATACATAATTATAGATAGAACAATTTAGCAAAACAGGGAATTTCTTAATAAAACAAAACAGAGCAATTATAGAATAAATTTCAAGCAAACAATCTCCCTCCTAAAACAAGAAACATCAAATCAAAAACACAAAAAAATAGTAAAATCTCGCAAAGTATCAGAGGGTGTATGACATATTAGCAGATTCA